AGGAGGAAGAACTTAGTTAATTGAACATGTACTTATGCAGATCATGTAAAACCAGCAGTTTACTTGTTATATTTCTCGACAGTTTTTGTGCTGCGATCACCAGCTGATATATTTTCAGAAATCCTATAAATATATGCAGCAGGCCTTTATTGCTTTTTTTAAAAAAATGTTTTGGTTTATTCTTTTCACTTCAGTATAAAATAATCAGGTTGAAATGAATAATAAATACCAGGCCTGGGTGATAAAACAGTAGATGTAATACAGAACCCTGTTTTTTTAGGGCATTAAAAATGATTGATGATTTGCAAAACGGACTGGAAATATACTTTTCTTGTAGTTCTTTGAAAATTACATCTATTTCTCCTTGGTTTTAATCCATTAAAAGGTGAAAACAGCCATCACACAGGCCTCCAGTTGGAGTCCAAAGCGCACACACTCGACCATAAACCTGCAAACTAAAGCATCGGCTGCCACCCTGCAGAAAAACAGCTGCTCTCGGAAGTATAACACCGACGCATTTCTTTTCATTTGTCTGTTGCATTCAAGGACATCAGCTCTGTGCACGGGGGTTTTATTGTGCATGAAGCAGCACCAGATAAGGTTGATGACTGTCTGTCTGTGGTCACAGCTCCCCCTGCAGGCCACACGTGGTCAAACCGCAACCTGTTGGTGAACAAACAGGTGTCGACTCATCGTTCTCCTCCGCTCGAAAATCACAGGAAACCTCACAGATTTCTGTCTGTATCGTCCCTCGTTTGATTTGCTCTTCCTCAGTATGTGGTCGGTGCAACTACCACCACCACCACCACCACCACCACCAGCACCACCAGCAGCAGCACCCCACATACCCCACTCATTCATTCCCTTTGTCTCCTTTCCCATAATCCCCCACTGCATAGTGACACAGAGAGAGAGAGAGAGAGAGAGAGAGAGAGAGAGCACACATTCTTCACTGCATCTCCTCTTAGGATCGTCAATATTTACTTTTACTGTGTGAGAAAGAAGGACAATGTGTGTGTGTGTGTGTGTGTGTGTGTGTGTGTGTGTGTGTGGTAAATGCCTTCACAGCCAGGCAGTGAAGTGCATGAGTGTGCACAAGCGTGTGTGTGTGTGTGTCCTCCCTCGCCCTCCCTCTCTCTCTCTCTCTGGCCTGATTTCTTGCACCACAGTGTGATCAATCTTTGACAGTTTGCTGACTCGTTTCTTTGTCTTGCGCTCCCCCATCCCTTCCCTCGGCCGTCGTCTCGGCCGCTTGTCTGAGACCGTCTGTGCACACACACACACACACACACTCACACACACACACTTATACATCTACACACCCCTCCCCTCGGGACTGCGATTGTCAGGGGCGACAATGGCGACTGGAGCGGCACCATTGTCTGCCTCCCCCCAACCCCCAAAAATATTCATTATCACTTTATGAATATGTTGCATCGGAGGGGGTTCATTCCACCACATCCACATTTTGATATCTGCATATATATATATATATATATGTGATAAATGCTGATAATGACTCGTAAAATCACAGAAAAAAGAATTAAAATACATGTTTAAAAACCTGTATGCACAATTTATAACTATATAAGATGGCAGTTCACTCTTTTGCAGTGTTTGACCGTAAAATCATTTCAATTTCTACTGTTACAAAGAAAAAAACTTAAATATTAAGGATTGAAAATGGGAAATACATTTTCAGTTTTTCTTAGTTTGTTAAACTACAGATACCATCCAGTGAAATCACAGAAAAAGGATTCATTTACAGGTTATTTGTACAAAAAAACACAGAACAGATCAAACTGTGCATAAAATTTACATCAAAAATCTGTATTTTTATTCATTCTTCTGCAATATTTGACCATAAAACTACCCTGTTTTTTATTTTTACTGTTTAAAAAAGCAAGAATTTTTGCTATTTAACAGATATTTGCTGTTATTTGAAGAAAAAAACTACATATATTAGAGACTAAAGCATATTTTAGTTCTGTTAAATTACAGATAACGTTGAGTAAAAATTTTTTCTACACATGTTGACACGTGTATTTTTACTGATGGTAATTTTACAGTTTGTGACCGTAACATTACAGTTTTACTATATTTAAATCAGCTAAAAAAAGCTATTACTTCACAGGTATTTGCTGTTATTTACACAGTTTTTAGAGAGTTTGTTTTTTAATGTATTTCTTATGGCACCCTCACTGCCCAGATTTTTATTTTTATTTTTTTTGCAGTGCATCCACCTCCCCTGTGAGGCTGAGCTTGTTCGATGGAATAAGTTTACTAACTTGCATGGCTTTAAAATACTCCAAAACCTCGACAGTCGGAGCAAGAGAGCTCATCACAATCAAGAGAGCCGTACATACGCGAGGAAGGAAAAAGAAAACTCCACTGGCTGTGAGGGGGGAAGGAGACGAGCGCAGAGAGAAGTGAAGACTAGCAGAGGCTCAGCATTGTGCTGCTAATGCAGGCCAGGCTTGGGTGATCCAACAAAGGTTACTGTGGAGACCAACAATGAGGCTCTGAGGGGCCCAGACTGCCGAGACGCGACGGGAGAGGAGGGAGGAGAGGAGCCGGGGAGGTGGGAGAGGGAGGGAGGCATTACCAGAAAAATCTACATCTCAAAACCATCTGACCTCGCTTTCAGTCGCATCGTGATCATGTGCAGGAATCCCATTAGCTGGTGTGATAAACTGAAACTGAAAATGCATCACTTCCTGTGTAGGGTTTGAACCAGAAACACACACACACACACACGCACACACACACACACACACATGCACGCTTCTTGAAATGAAACGTTGTGTGACATCACGGAAAGTTGGAATGTACTTTCTTTGACTTTCCGACTGCAGTACCGGGGAGTCCGTTTCGAGGAAGCTGTGACTGGAAGCTGATTGAGATCAAACCACGTGGGCGAACGAGCGACGCTTCCCCCTGCATGACACAAACGTCAGGCCAGAGAAAGGTCTGAACACTTTCAGGCTCCAGATACGTAATCTGATTCTCGTTTAACCCTCTGAACTTTCAAGCAGTGCGACTTCAAGGGTGACTTGTGCATTTTCTCCCTCACCGTGGGCTCATTTTCTCACTGCAACATAAAGTCCTGCACCTCTGTGGAAACAGAACGACCACGTCTAGGAGGTGAGAGGACTTAGAAATGTCCTCTGTGCAGGATGACATCATCAAAAAATGAAGAAAAAAATGGAGTCCAATTGCCCACAAAAACATTTCCAGAAAGATGTTTCACTACGTTGAATGTTTCCTCCAACAACGTTCTCTTAACTGTTTTTTAAACCATCTCTTTTGTCATCTCTGCTAGAAAGCAGAATATTTCATTGTTGTCATTTCATTGTACACGTCTCATACAAATAAATAAAAGTAATCTGCAATAACAACAGTCTGTAAGAAAGAAAGAAAATTCTCAGTGCCTCAGCTGCCACGAGACACATATTTATGGACTTTACGGCTGAACTGCAAGCCGAGAGAAGACAAGCATGGAAACAAACTAAAAATATAAATAGTAAGATATCTTAGTAGTATGTAGAGACACCTGTGGACACCTTGAAAAAAGTTGGACATGTTGATTCCATTTTTTTCTAATTATTAATTTACCAAACAATACAACTTTCATGTTTTCTTCTTTAATGACGTGCGTCACTCTAACTGACATTTCTGAGTTCTCTCTCCTTCTGTTTGTGGTTGTTCTGCTTCCACAAAGGACTTTATACTGCAGCAGAAACAAGGTCCAGGAACTGCCTGGAGTTCAGAGGGTGGCATCATTTGAAGCTGTTATTTAAAAATAATAAGAAGCGACTGGGAGCAGACCAGCTGCACATGTTCGTATTCTATATTAGCTGGTGATGGCAGCACGAGAGCCGCTGAGGAATAAAACAAAGTCAGCTGCTGTTTTCAGACGCTCTGCCATATTTGGCTCGTTTAGCTCGTCTCCCCATCATAATGTGTAGATTGTGTTTTTTTTTTTCTCCCTGCGACCAACTGATTGGATGAAGAGTCGATTTCAGTTCACTGAGGTTTTCTTTGGTTCACTGCAGCCCCTCCGAGTGAGTTGCTCGAGTTTGCAGAGAACGGGAGCCTGTAAGCTGCATGCACGAAACAGCTTCGGGGAGAAGGAGCCGCTGCTGACCCGTGGCCTTCACACTCCCCCGTCCGCCCTCTCCCATAATCCCCCTCTGCTCTACAGATGCCACTTCGCAGATGGACAACACTCAGAAGGCTCAGCTGATTTTTGACACACTCCAACGAGGTCAGGTTAACATTTCATAACTTCTGCTTTCATGAGGATTCTTGGTATGAATCCACATTCAAAATGTACATAACTCAGTGTTTCACCTCAGTTCACATTCACACAGGAGGCATGAATGTAAAATTCTCCGCCTCTTGCCTGTCAACTCGTCTGTCACCTTCAGGAGGAATTCATTAGCAGCATAACTTCCACCTGCATTAACTCGTTACGACCTCAGCCGCCCTCTAAAAACACGATGTAGCACCAGCTCTGCAGATGGAATGAAAGCCAATCTGATGAGTCGTACTTCTGCAATGAGTCACTGGCAGTCTGATGGTATACAGTACGTGTATATATTTAGCGCTTCTTGCCCGGGCGTGCGCAGCGTTTTTGCATGTTTGAACGTGCAGGTGGGCATGTGCAAATGTCAACAGCGACTTCTCGGTGCGTGTCTGTGCAAGCGTGATGAATGTTTGTGATTGCAGGACGTGGGAAACTGTTGTGATGACAATATAGGAGGCGTATAGGTGTTCGGTTGATTACAGAATGCTGCAGCATCGTGTAATTAACCCTCTAAACCCTATCCAGCTATTAGAGCAACCGTTAAACTGTCCAGATGCTGCAGCTGATAGCTCTTTCTGAGAATCATATTTCAACAAAGATAAGAGTTGTGCTATCTTCTGCAAGCTGGGAGTTCACCATCACCTCCCTCGTGATCACGTGAGTGTGTCGGTTCCTGTGTGTGTCCACTCACCCTGATGCTATGAGCGCTCTGGACTGAGCCATGGCGATCCTCTGCAACGCCGGTCTGCTCAGCCCGGCCAGGCTCGATCGCTGCGGCAACGGGGCATGGCACACTGTTGCCGCGGACGACGGCGTGCGCTGCGGCTTCATCACCAGCGGCGACGGCGACGGCACGGGAGAGGGAGGCGTGGTGACGTTGCTGGCGGGAGTGATCAACGTGGCGGTTGGCACCGACTCGTTGGCTGAGGATGAGGAATGTTTGGGCGGAACGGACGGAGGGTTCAGGCCCGGGTTGGATGACGGGGGCTGAGGGGGAGGGAGGGACGGGGGAGGCGGCCTGTTGGAAGACACGGAGATGCCCATGGCGGAGGTGCCGGCGGTGAGGGCGGCGAGCGACTGAGCGAAGAGCTGGGCGTTCCTTCTCGGAGAGGCGGTGTTCCTGGAGATGGCGAGGCCGTGCGGCAGCGTCTGGTAGTAGTTGGAGTTGGAGTTGGAGTTCTGCTGCTGTCCTCGTCCCAGAGTGGCCGATTTAGACGGACTCAGAGGCTTGGAGGCGGCGGGTGCTAAGGTCTTGGGCCGCTGCATGGTCAGCGAGCGTCTACCAAGAGTCTGTATCCCTGCTACTCCTCCCATCGTCCCTCCTGTGTTGGTCTTCACACTGAGGACCAGCATGCACTGCTGGCAGGAGCAGGGCTGGCCCAGTCCGGCAGCCGGCAAGCCCCCATTGGAGTAGACCGAGCCTGCGAACCCCATGCTGGCTCCGGACACCCCAACGCCTAGCAAGGCTCCCGTCAGGCCTCCACCCCCTACGCCTCCTCCTTTGGGGACCGGGAGAGGACCAGACACTAAAGGATAGGCCATGTCGGCACGCCTCTGGATCCTCCGACACCTTTGGCTCTGTCTGTTCACCTGCAGACAGACAAAAAACAACATCCCCAAAGTTAAAAATGCCCGTAAAACAAACAACTGACGTCCCAGTAAAAAAACTGAAGCGAACCTGTGTCATGTTCTGGAAATCAATGAGGTAGCAGAAGCCGAGCGGTGTCAGGTCGAGGCAGGGCTGCTGGCGGTTGTGGGCGCTCTCGATGGCGATGGCCACCTCCATGTCGTACGGCGTCCACGTGCCCGCGTCGTTCTCCCACTCCCACTGCCAGCCCTGACCCGGGGCCGAGGCTGGATCGTAGAAACTCCTCCGCACCGGACGGATGGTTCCTGAAAGAAACGAATAAGAACGTGGGTTCATTGACATGTTTTTGTCCTGTTGACTGCGTTGCCACGAGCAGGATTTCACTTCCTGCATAAGAAGCTCTACCACAACCTGTCAAAATACTCGTGGTTGCTCATTAGGGCTGCAACTAACGGGGAATTTTATTATGAAACAACCAGTTGAGTATTTTGTTGGTCAATCGATCAGTTGTTTGGTCAGAAAGTGGTGAAGAATGAAAAACATCTCGCTTCTTATTCTTATTCCTGTCAGAGGAGGAAAAACCTCCACACAATATTAATATTTAGCAAATTTGTCTTATTGCTCTGTTGGAAAACACTTTGGCTTAATGTCTGTTGTTTTAAATTGTGGAGAAATGTTGGTGCCTTGACTTGTTTGGATGGACGGTTGTGCTATACGGTGTCCCAGATGTTGGTCTAAGTCATGCAGTATGTTATTAAATAGCACTAATAGCCTTAGAGCTCACTAGTTATGGTAAATGCTAAATGCAGCAACACTAGAAAAATGTCTCTGAGAAAAAAAAAAGAAGCTTCTGTTAGAAGCCAAACAAAGCCAGCAAAGAATAATAAAATGATATTCGTACACATCTTATTCACATTTTGTGCTGGAGCAACTAAAAATTGCAGTTTAATCATAGCAAACTGCAAAAAAATGTCAGCGAAATAATGAAAAAAACCAGACTTGTGGGTCTGGATTCTGATTAGGAGTGACCGGGTCAGTGCTCAGGGATCACAGGCCAGAGGCTCTGGACAAACTGAATGTCATCACGTGCAGCAGCAGCCTGCAGGTCACAGAAGCCACATGTACAGTCAGAGCAGACTGTCGCAAAAATTAAAGCAATAAACATGCCTCCTTTTCACTGCCAACGCTCTGAGGCCACCTGGTAGAGAACACGCAGAGCGCCGAGCTGCAAAATGTGTCCGAACAGCTAAATGAGCAGCTGCTTTTTATAGATTATACATATGTAACGCTAAACGAATTAAAGTGAGGCGTAGGTTAGCTCAGCGCTAATGTGGTAATAGGGCCTTCAAAGGCTGACAATATAATTTCCTATGAACTGGAAGCCTTCCTGCACAAAAAGCAGAAACAGTCTGAAAAAGGAACTTATGCAACAGCTAATGATCGGAGCAGCATGACGTGGCCGTTTCTCGCTGCATGCGCGATTTTCATCAAAACGCTTGCATGAGTGGAGAAACTTATCTGCCAAAAAAACAGCGTCACAAAGGGAGCCCTGCAGGGCGGCCAGTCCCACAGTCTAAAGAGCACTTTGGCCACTTTTCTCACATCCGTATCAGTTGTGTTTTTGCTGGCGCTACAACAAGGCCGGGCAGATCTGACGGTCCTGCATGGTGGACCATCTCAGTTTGGCAGACGAGCCGCGTTTTAGAGGAATCGTACACGTCATGTCGTTAAATAGTTAAATAAATTTCTTAAAAAAGTATTCTCAGAACTTTTCTACATCATCTGAACTCAAAGTCATGATTGGTTTTGGCACAAATATGGACGCAGCATGTTGTTTGTTTGTTAAATAAAATCATTTATCAGCCAGAAGAGGAAGAATTTTTTATTCATCCGACAGTCTGTCAGTTTACCACATGTGACTTTATCTCGCAAATTAACCAAGTTTTATCTTTAAATTGGGGCACTTCCTGACTAGAACCAGGAAGTACGACCATATTAGTCCAGTGCTCAGGTCTCTGCACCGGCTTCCTGTCGCTCAGAGAACTGAGTTTAAAACAGCTCTGCTTGTGTCCAAGTGTCCTCATGGTCCGGCACCAAAGTGCATCTCTGACATGTTGGTGCCACATGAACCATGTCGGGCTCTGAGAAGCTCAGGGAGGGTCTCCTGCTGGAGCCCAGAGTCAGGACCAAACATGGTGAGGCTGCGTTCTAGTTTCATGCAGCTAAAATCTGGATTTCAGAAGATGTGAGAGAGGCCTCAACGCTGACGATGTTCAAATCCAGGCTGGAAACAGTTCTGTTTAGTTGTGCACATGACAGCTGAAAGTATTCTAATTAATGATTATATTTATATCCACTATCCAGCTGGTCGGACACACATACGAATCACCACCTCCGGTTAGAGCTTCAGAAATAAAATGAGAGTGAAAACCGGATGCAGAGACCTGTGACATTACACAACTAATCTCACACGAGTCGGACTAAATTTGCGGAGAGATGTTGTGATTCAGATCGTAGCTCTGCCCCCAAAAAAAGGTCGTCATATGATGTTTTTTGGCCCAAACTGCGCCGGCGAACACAATCGAAGCACAACAGAATGATAAATAGTTAAAAACATACTGACAAATAAGCAGAACAATGCGTCTCTGTCTCCCAGCGGGGCAGCAGGAGGGTCCCTGAACCAACCAACCAGAAACTACCTCTGTCTCCAGGGGTAACGGCCTATTCAGTCAGTGCCAGGATGGGGAGAGGAGGGTATATATGTGTGTGTGTGTGTGTGTGTGTGGTTGGATATTACAAAGAGGTGATACTGGCATGAGTGCACAGACATCAAAAGGTTGAGTAAATGGACGGCTGCATTTGTTTGGGAGAGACAGTGAATAATCAAAGTGAGATATCAACCGCCGTATTGTGTGTAAAGCTGTACAGTAGTTCATTTTCTGACAGCGAGGGGATCCCAGAGATGTACAGGGAGGCTTTAAAGACAAACACAGTGTTTGTGAGAGTACACAACCCCCCTCCCCTCAGCGGGGAGCACTCGACCTGCTGATTACCATGTGAAATGTAATTTCTCTCTCGAAACTGCGGAGAGTCCATTCAGCGTCAGACAAACAGCAGACTGAGGCCAGACAGAGGGGACGGAGCGGCTCGGCACACAGTTCCCACCACGACCGCGATGTTAATCAAATCATTTGTCCGGACACTTAAAGCCGCACAGCTCGCAAGATGTCATAATCTCATCGCTTCCAAGTTTGCTTGGTTTTATCTCGTTAGGCTGACACCAAAACTTCTCCAGAACGAATTCCAACATTATCGGGACAAGTCTGTGGGAGACAAAGGACTACATGATGTACAAGTTGCATGATGTATCGCTGCACAAATTAACTGCAAAGCATCGGGCTACAGCTAAAAGAAAACATGGTCTTTCTGACAGATCGTTATTTACCGGCTGTTCAAAGACACAGCGAAACGAGGCAACAACAGGATTTGGTTGTCAAAAGAAATATTGCATTAGTTATAAGGGAATACTTTGGTGACAGAAAGGATGAAGTTGGCCAAAAACAAGCTCTCTCTGTAGCGTCTTGCCTTGTTGTCACCAAACAAGCACCACGAGTTTAAATCAGCAGCACAGAGTTCTGTGTGATGAGTGCAAAGACAGATATGAATGTCATCCAGAGAAGAAACTGGATGTTATGCAGCTATACACCAGACAATGGAGCGCTACATAAGTCCGACCGTTCGCTTTCTGAACGACTGAGAACTCGCTGTTTGCAAACAACATGTTTCCTGGATGATCAGTGAGAGCATCTCGTATCTCACAAACAAACAAAAATGTGCAACGTCGCTGTTTCCAATGTCGTGCAAGTTGCTCATCAGCAAAGAAAATAACGGATGAAATTGTTCATTTTTTGATGATTATTAATCAAAACCGGCTCTGATGGACGTGCTGTGGAGAGGAAAAAAAAACATCTAGTGCAATAAAGGTGTCCACTCCAAGAGGGCAAAACCACATGAGTGCTCTTTCATAACCTCGCCATTGTGCTGATAATAAAAGGAATAATGTGCTGCTTTATTGATCCCTGAAGGGATATTCTCTTTGTGCATGTATGAATACAGCAGGAGCCATTATGGGAGAAGGGAGTTGAGCGTTCCACAACGACTGTCAAACAGCATCTGAGCGTTGTGTGTGCGGCTAAAGCTTTATCTGCACTGGAATTCTCCAAATCAGGCCAAGGTCTCAGCACGGCCAGGACAAGCCGCCTTTGTCTCCGAACACAGCATCGACACCTGAGCGCTTGTACGTTCTCATAAAGGGTTTTATGTGGCGATTCGTGTGTATTCTAAAGCCTGGATGGTTAATTTCCAATCAGTGACGGCCAAAGCTGCAGAGCAGGGTTAGCATGGATTGAGGTTGCAGAGAATGCATGCGTAGAAAATGAAGTGAGCGCAAAAAGAGGAAGTTGAGAAAATATATTTATGACATTAGCTTTTTTGGCTTAGCAGCTTTTATCATTTAGCAGCAAGACAGCTAGCTTAATGAAAAACTCTTATTCAAGTCATATTTCTAAGTGTTTAATCACAAGTAGCAGACAAGTTATTTAAAGTTTAATGTGATAACTTGAGGATAAACGCTGGGGCATCCTTGTAGCTAACATGTAAGCTAGTTTAGCCGGATGTCAGGACACCAATGGTTGAATGCAGCATAGCGGCTAATGCACAGACTGTAGACTTGCCATTTGACAGTTCAAACAATTTGCTAAAGACATATCAGCTGTTATTAAAAGTCTTTACCCCTCTTAAGACTAAAACCTGATCGATGGCTTAAAAATAAAAACACATAATCGTCTATCTTTTAGCCAGAGACTGTAAAAAGACCCATCTTTCCAACAGTCATCAGTAAAACCAGATCTAATCTTTATATTGTGACATTTCATCTAAATCACTTCCTCCGTGTTCTTCAGTGTAACATCAGCTGCGACCAACAAGTGCTTCCACCGAGCAGAGAGGAGACCAGTGTGGGAATAAATACAGTCTGAATACTTTGGTCTCTCCAGTGTGCAAAGCCACATGTTGAATGCTGCACTTCAGGTTGTTTGTGTTGTTCCTCCTGTTACACAATGTCTCCTGAAGCATTTCTGCACTACAGCTTTGTCATTTACTGGCTTACATGTACACAGGTGTTCATATATCTGCATCCATGTATTTTAATTTAAAAACAACCCGGCCAGTTTCTCAATCAGGCTCTGAACCGCCTTGACCGGACTGATCCACATAAACCGATCCAGCGGAGCTCCTCGGTAAAA